TTTAATAATATAACATTTTATAAAGATAATAATTAAGTATTCTGTTAGAAATCAATGATTATCCTAATTATATTTTAGATTTTTAATATTTAATATAAGATGTTTATCTTGTATTTGATTATGTTTATCTGCAATTAGTTACACGAATTCAGATATGGTGCTTTAATACTTACGCACAATCTACTTGTAATCTTGAGTTTTAAGTAATATGCATTAATAAACAGTACTTTACGCATAAAAAGTAGTTTTTAAGAGTTTTTGACAAATGCTTTATAATATAGTATAGATTATTTTTTTTATAATTTAATTTAAGTGTAATAATGAAATAATTTATTTTTGGTTGAATAACATAACATTTTATAAAGATAATAATTAAGTATTCTGTTAGAACTCAATGATTAACCTAATTATATTTTAGATTTTTTATATTTAAAATTAGATGTTTATCATGTATTTGATTGTGTTTATCTGCAGTTAGTTACACGAATTAAGATATGAGATGAAATCGGATAGAGATGAAATCTGATTTAAGAGTTTTAACCAAATGCTTTATAATATAGTATAGATATATTGACCGTTTATTAGGATTTGTTTATATCTTTTTTTTTCAATAATTAATAAAATCATTAATAAAATCAAAGATTTTTGATATAATATCTTCTTCCAGATTTTGTAATATTGTAGTTGTAATCTTCCCCATTTTTTTATGTTTTTAAATATTTTCATTATTTTAATTTTTTATGACATAAGATCATATTAATGTCATTTTGTTACCAATTTACCTGTAAACACTTGACAACCAACACATCGAAACATGAATTATGTTATTCATTTAAACCATTACCAATGGTGTCGAAGATAAACATAATTAAACACTTCGCAAACATGTGACATCTCAAAATAAAACACGATGAACCCTATTGTAACATGTAATATATGAAAGTGAAACGAAACTGAAACAAGCAAATTCAAATGAAACATGATGAACCCACAAGAGTAACGTAATTTACCAAACTGAAACCAACATGAAACGGTGAAATAGGATGGATTTGAGATGCAATGTGATGAACCCGCAAGTAATTAAACATATTGACTAATAGATTACACTCGACTAAAATTCAAAGACTTTGATTCGATACTCAAATCGATTTCATCGAAACATTCATCATATCACTTCATTATTAACAACCGATTATAAAATCTAACAATCTATATTTTTCACCTTCTTCTTTCGCCTTCTTTTCTGTTGTTGCTTGATCAACTCCAGATCCAAACCATTTTCGTCGAGTTCAACAGGGTTGTCGTGAAATTAGTGAAGTTCGAAAAGTATTTTTCTTCATGAGTCTCTCGCTGATTCGTTTGCGGAATGATGATGAAAAAAATGTCGATGAAGGTAATGTCAAGAACGATTGGAAAAATATTGATAAACAATGAAACCTAAGAACATACCACCATTGTTGTCCACCATTTTATGATCCAGAATTTTCCTCAATCATATGGGAAACACTCTAAAATTGAACACAATTTTAATACACCTTTCTAATTAAATGGGAATTCATTGATTACATAGAATATCCTCTTATTTTTTCAATCCTCAGTTTGCCCTTCCATGTGGGTTACTTTAATGAAACCAATTTCTTTTTAATTCTTGTTTACTTAAATAGATTGATTTCATCTCAGCCATTAATCATTAAAATAGACGGTGAGTTTGTACAGTTTGTACTATTAGAAAATTTTGTAAAATAAATTACCTATATATATATATATATATATATATATATATATATATGGGTTAAATCAAATGAGAACTATAAAAAGGTTACAAACTCCGTGAGAACCGATTTAAATAAATTTTTACATGATTTTTTTATCAAATGTTAGGATTAAAGATATTGTTTCACATATATTTGTTTTATAATGTGATAGTTTCACTTATATTTGTTTTACCATATGAATATTTTTTACGAGTGTTTTTCGTTTCACAAAGTGAAAACAAAAAAAATTCACATGCAATTTTTTTCATAAGGTGAACACAAGCATATGCGAAACAATATGTTAAATCATAACTTTTGATCAGAAAGATAATATAAAAAGATATTTCTATATCAGTTCTCACATATTTATAATTTTTTGTGGTTCTTATTTGATTATCGTTATATATATATATATATATATATATATATATATATATATGTATGTGTATGTGTCGGATTCGTGTTGGTGATTGATTAATTCCAAACATAGCGTGTTGGGTAATCGTTTGTTTAAGATCGTGTACAGTTTTTTTGTACCCATTTGGTTAGCCTCTTTGACACATGGAGTTTGATGCAATTTGTTTTTTTTTTTTGAGAGGGGATGCAATTTATTTTCGATCAGTCAATTTCCATCGCCTTGAGGTCCTTGTTTTGTCTTCAGTTTTTCTATGTAACGTTGCTTTTATATCTTTTTTGTTTCGTAATATTCTCTCTTTCTTAGTTATGAAAATTAGTGTTGGGCCCCATACAATTATTTATCCATATTATATTATAAAACATTTGATAAAAATTCTTAAAAATCATCATTTATATATGAAATATTGCTTATTGATGCATATTAATTAAAATTCAAGATTACAAGTAAATTGTACGTAAGTATACCTTATTGAGCTTCATGTTTGAATTCGTGTAAATAACTATAGATAAATATAATCTAATACAAGATAAAATTCTTATGTTAAACATAAAATCTAAAATATAATTAGAATAACTATTGAGTTCTAACAGAATACTTAATTATTGTCTTTATAAAAATTAAATTATTAAATCAAAAATAAATTATTTCATCATAAAACCTAAGTTAAATTATAATAAAAATTGAAATAAAGAAATTACATAAAAAATGAGAACTTTTATATTTAAAAAAAAACATTATTACTTGCTCAAAACCACATAAATTCGTATTATAATATCAAGAGAGACCAAAAAAATAAAATAAAACATTAAAATCGAAATATATCTCGTTGCATTACGCAGGTACCCTTCTAGTTATAAAAATAGGTCGTTCAAGAGAAACCAATCTTATAAATTTTCGCAAACCCTTTAAACTTGAAAGACCATCCACCTTTTATATACTTACCACCTTACTTCCAATCTTGTCTATCCCTCAACGCGGGATAACCAAACAAGATTATAATTCAAGATTTGCGAATACTTAAACTCATGGTGTCACGTTATTGGTTGTGACTTGTGGTTGTTCCTTTTCTCATACAAAGTTAAAAAAATATATAAAAGATAATTTATTGTAAAAAATAGTTGGCAAGAAGAAATCAACCCCATATGTTACCACAAACTTTTTAAACCCGTAAGACATATCATCATCCTTTTATATATATCACATCTTCGTCCAAGTTATCGTCTTTCCGTTGATGTGAACAGGGGCGGAGGCCTATAGGGGCTTTTGCGGGTCAGAAGCCTACAATTTTTTTATCTCCTAGGTAGGCAAATCTTAGTCCACTATATTAAAATTTTATTTTTTCCACTTCTACTTAAGTCGTCATGATCCCTGAGTTATTTTCACATTATGTAAAGTTGGGGCTCTTGATTACAAAGTTGTTGGACAGCTATAAAGCAAGTCCTGATTGGTTTTGGTGAGATGCTACGTATGAGTCTGTTGATCTAAGTTGGGTTTATCATTAAATTGCGTAATTTTTTGTACTCGACACACTAAAGGCAGGCCAAGGCATGGGCATTTGATAACCTAATTTGCCGATTTACAATTCTCTAGGAAAAGGATGCATAGGATACTGTTATTATATGTGTATTTGTCTGTATGTAAACAACCAGAATATCTATATGCATATACTCGTGCAATTCCAAACGAATGTGATTTCTTTCGGAAATCTGTTAGGATCAGAGTTAAATAAGTGCATGTTTTTAGTAGCTTATTGAACTTAATAGGATTTGCAGCTTAGGCTAGCTATAAATAATTGTTTAGTAGTGTCTTATTGATTAAAAAATGGCTTATCCAAGAAGCTTCTAGACAGAGAGTTTTATGCAGAAAACAAATTATTTTTTTTTCCAAACGTGTCCCTTTCAATTAAAAACATGTTCATTTCATTTATGAAAAAACCTACTTAAACAAAAATCATTCGAATCTATACAGACAACTTAATCCATACAGGATTTAATGGAAAGCCGACCAAACAACCCCTAAATATAGGAAACGAATTACTCTTGTGCTGTTCTTAGACGAGTTAGTACAATTATGAAGGTGTTTTTGGGTAGACAGAATTGTTTTGTCCAGTTTAATTACTTGATGTTGAACCATTCTGTTTGAAAATTTTCCTAAAACGTCATTGAGATTTAGTTTATGATTTAAGGGGTTAAACCGTCCAAAAATTTCCTTTTAAACTTGTAAAATGTCACATCCTTTGTTATGTACTTGAACATTTTTCCACTAATCTATCGTCCACTCTTCTTACCCACCCGTTTGGGTCCATCTTCTGAAAGTTTGGTAGACGTGCACAAAGTTGTATCCATTCATTTCACGCTCCCTTTTCAGCTGAAACCTCAAAATTTTGGTACACCATTTCGTGTGAGAGATTCAGATTTGGATAACGCAAAAATGGTTATTTCGTTGTTGCTCTTGTTTCCACCGCCATCTTCCTTTTTCGTGACCGTGATGTCGATATTAAGCTGTGTATCGCTCGCAAATGGTGGATTCATGGAAGCAAAAGGCAAACATATGCAGTATTCCAAGTTCTTCAACGTCTCAAACAAACCAAATGATCAGCTGATTAAGTTGCCTAGTAGAACCGGTATGCTTATAGTCTATACGCCAGCACTCCTTGCAGGCCTTTCTTATTCAGCCATTTTTCCTTATCGAGATCTTCGAATCGTGATGCTTGTCTCTGTTCTCACCATTCATTTCTTCAAAAGGGTCAATGAGGTACAGAGTTTTGTCTCTTTCTTTAACTTCACATATTCAAACTGTAACTATTCCATTTAAGTTTTTGGTTCGCAGGTGTTATTCGTTCACAAATATAGCGGTTCCATGGCACTGGATGCTGCCATATCTATTGGTTTAAGCTACACCATCAGTGCCATGACAATGATTTATGCTCAATACTTATCTCGAGAATTTCGTGAGCCTGCAATCGATCTCAAATACATTGGAATTGCATTGTTCTTAATCGGAATCGTTGGAAGCTTTTATCATCATAACATTCTTTCTAATCTAAGAAAGAAGGGTGATAGAGAGTACCGTCTCCCGAAAGGAGGATTGTTTGATTTGGTTATATGCCCACATTATCTCTTCGAGATTGTAGAGTTCATAGGAGTCTCTTGCATTGCTCAAACAACGTACACGTTTTCTTTCACTCTCGGCACGATGTTTTACTTGACGGGAAGGAGTTACGCGACACAAGAATGGTACCGTTCAAAGTTTGGGGAGAGTTTTAACAAGGATGTCAAGGCTTTAATTCCCTATACTTTTTAAATCATAAAGTTATATGCGTAGCTATATAAATACCATTTAGTTTAGAACGAAAACTTGTAACTTTGTCATCGTTGGTTCTTTCGAAGAACTATTATAATTAATAAGTTAAAATTGGTGGATAGAATCGTCATTGTGATAGGAACTCTATCGTTCTCACGAGCCAACAAGCGTGTGACAATTGTCCCCAATTTCATTGACGAGGATATTGAGGCCATAGCGCCCGGTGGCATGTGCAAATATGATTGTTTATGCACAAAGGTTTGTAACTGGCAACTCTCGAGAGCTGACCTGTACCACTCGACTTCAAAACCATCATGTGAGAGATAAATCAAGTATACGATGTGCGTAGACAGCAGACTTAAAAGTTTGGTGCTCATGAAGAGTCAAATACTTAAATCTACAAAGGAAATTTTACTCGTCTCAATCTAGATTCTAGATATCCTTGGCCCAACAAGATAGTTCCCCTAAGGCCCAAGTGAAAACTCAATGCAACAGCCCATTTCCTTAGGTCCAATTACCAAACCCTAATTTCTTCATATTTTGTTACTAGGTTTTGTTTCTAAAGTACGTATGTTTAATATGAATCACAGAATTAACCACAAAGGTGATGTTTGATTGATTTGAGCTTAGCTCCAAAGGTTAAAAGTATCGGGAGGTCCCAGATTCAAATCCAATAAGGAATAAAAATTCTCTTGTGACCACAGAGGTTCAAATGTGGTGACTCCGGGCTATCTGCAAAGCAGGTAGTTATTCTGGGATTAGTCGGCTCGCATAGCAGGTTGAATATCCAGGTTGATAAAAAAAAAATGACTCACAACAACATACTAAACAATAATCTGTAACGAATTGAAACTTAGATGCTTATCACTATTTTCCTTTCATTTCTCCTTTCTTTCTCTATTAAAATAGTTTGGAGAATATGATTTTTATTTACCTTCCTCCAATTTTCCTCCTTTTTCTTTATAAAATAGGTTTAAGAACACAAACTATATTCATCCCCCTTCATATGTCTTCAAAATTTTACAAAATTGGTGTAGGCTTTAGAAGGTTCCATGTGATTTAGCCCATTGAATGTTATTTTACTTGATTTTTATGGAGCAAGTTTCCAACTTATAAGGCTATAATGTATAATTAGTGTATCAATTGTCAAAATATGATTTAATGATCTACTTATTTCATTAACTGTAAAATTATCGTTCAGATTGATTCCTCATCGTTATTTATTAACTATTGCAACAAAAAAAATAAAAAATTATGAATCTTTTAGAGAAAGGTATTCGATTGACTTTTATACCTGGAAATTGATGTAACATCTGAACCTAAGCATATCAGATATTGTCTGTCTTGTCAATATCTACATTCACAGTTTTAAAAGACGACTGATAGTTTCTTATAAGGCAATTTTAACTTGTTCTCCTCTTTAATCGATGTGGGATCTTTCCATGAAACTTCAATCGAAATCATCGGGTGGCCAAAAATAAAATAAAACAAAATTGTGAACACATTTTTTTTCCATATATAATTGTTAATTCATTATCTTACATGAGTAAGCAATTAAAATGTGACCTTGATCGACTTTAGAAACAAATCTCAGACATTTAAAATGGGATTTCATATATATATATATATATATATATATATATATAACTAATTAGTTTGTGGTAACTATGAGAACCAATATTAACCACAAATCAATAGATAAATTAGGAAATTTATAATTTTAGCAATTTTGAATTAAAATATTAATGCAAGGATATTTTTGGTATTTTAAAACTTTCCTCCCTCCTCTCTTCTCTCTCCGGCCACCGTCCTCCGGCCACCGTCC